TTACCTCATCAAGTCGAACAGCTGCATTCGTTTAGGATTTACATCCGAGTACTTTGTTTTGTACCACATGGTTTACCCTTGGTTCGAGTCCTGGGCGCAGCTATAGAGTTAGCATTAAAGTGGGTGCATTGTCAAGTTGTATGAAGTAGAAGATGTAAAATTACAAGAATAATAACTCTGAAATCCTCGGTTCACTTTAGTCTCAAGAGTCCCAATACCTCTAGTTAGAATCAGTTATTCCTCTACACATGTAAATTCTTATTTACCATGCAATGAGAGCATACATTGGAGAGAATTTCGAAAAAAATTCGATACAAACTACAGTCAAACGGGAAGTTGGTTGAATTCTGCAAGCCTGAGATGGCGACGTTATTTTCAATTTAAATTTCCTGGAACAAAGTTATCAAGTTCCGTTTGAGCTTTGACAAGCTGCTGTCTTCTTTATTTACTTTGTGAAATTGAATAATTCGTTTTTGTTATAGAATAAGAAAGCAATACTTTGGAGTTAAAGAGGGAGAAAATAACTGTTCTATGGTCGACAGTTAATTTACAAACTGTGAGAAATAGGTTGAGTACAAATCGCCAAACTAAAAACTGCGGAAGCTGCTGAAAATATTGAAAATGCAGAAAATGTAAGCCGAATTTTTAATTAAGCGCAAGGCAATAAATTATAACTTTTACCTAATCCGTATAAAATTGTAGCTTTTTGAAACGGCAAAACCTGATTAAATCCGAACCAAAACAGCTCTAGCTGTACGTTCCATGCTAATAACATTTCTGCAAGAAGCTATGTGTGTCATATGAGGATTTATTCCCTGTAGTCTGGCTCCAAAATTATTTCAACGTTCTGACGTCGATAAATCAGAAACTTCGTACGCCATAAAATTAGGATATTCACAAGAATATTTTCGGCAGAAAATCGGCAGAAAAATTAAAAGACGAGTTTGTTCAAAGCGTCAGTAACTGAAGTCATAGTAAGAAGACTACTTGTTATATACCTCGACTTTCACTCAACAAATCGAGCATTGTGATTTGTTGATTCCTGGTCACGTGCCCTTGATCAAATTCAAATGTATCCCGACCGAGATACAATAGACCAATTTCGATATATTAAACTTCAGCGTTAAACAATAGACCTCAGTACGAGGCTCTGGGGAATAAACCCCACAAACTCTGTAGTTATTCCCCAGAGCCTCGTACTGAGGTCTATTGCGCGGTTGTTGCCCGGGCGCCGAAAACAACAGCACGTGATCAGTGTATGACTAACTTAAAAATGGCATGATCTTCAGTACGTGCTCACGTCAGCTTGAGTGATGGGGGCGGACCTGCACTGCCAGTTTACAGTTTCAACCAGTGATGATCGTTAATGGAACCCAGTGAGACTAAAAGAAAACGCTTTTCTATATTATCAGAGGAAGAAATACAGGACTTAGTTGAAGGTAAAGATTCTGAAAATACGAGAAAAGCAACTAAGAACGCTGCTGTTACATTCCTGGCATACTGGAACGAAGTTAAACCAGAAGATGAGCAGGTAAAAAATACAGAATCGCTAGAAAAAATTCCAAAGAAGGAACTGAATGAACTTCTGGGGAATTTCTGGCCGAACGCAAAGAAACAAAACGGAGACAACTACAAAAAGTCTGCTTTGATGGGAATACGATTTGGTCTTCAAAGACACTTTCTCCTGAAAAGAGAATTT